CAACTATAGAATTAAAGTGGTAAATGTGTGGAAAAAGCATCTCCCCAAAAGTTTAATGCCATAAGGAGAGAGCTAGCAGCGCAGTGAAACTTGCACCTTCTGTGTACACACACACACTACAGCTACTTTCTAACTTCAGTTTATTTTTCGTGTTGATTTGTTTGTGCCTCATTCTCTCAAATAGTTTAATGAACACGGGGCATTTCCAGTCTATTGCTATTAGTCAATTAGTATTTCTCAGCACTATTACCTCCATTTAGCAATTATCATTAGCCTAAAGATGATTAATACAAAGAAATGGGATTTGTAAAACCTGCAATTCCCAACCACACTGTGATTAAACTGAATAAAAGAATTCGTGTTTACAAGAATAAAGGAGTTATTTGTGGTTTTCCACATAAAAAAAACTGTCCTTCAAATGTAATTTCGTACACCAGCAGCTCAGTTAACACCTGTTTTCAACATGTCCCAAAGCAAAAATCATAACACCGGTTCATTTGTGATAAATGCACAAATGCTGCAGTGCTGAGAAGTTACCAGAGGAATGGCCGATCAAGCAACGCCACCACATGCTGGGTAAAGACATTATAGCAGGCAAAAAAAGTAATGTAAATACATTTTATAGACCACCACTAGAAAAATTTATATGTGCAAGATGTTTGATACGAGGTATGCCCCCCCTGGATGTGATACAAGCAGTCACCCATCTGCGCATGAACTTCTCAAGTATCCGCATCTGTTGTTGAGGAATTGCTCTGCATTCCTCAGTGAGTGCCGCCTGTAGCTGTACGTTGCATCGTTGCTGCCTCTGATGAACATGTCAGCCCAGCATGTCCCAGGCATGCTCAATAAGATACATATCAGGACTGAAGTCTGGCTACGCAAGCTATTTTGGTACTTTGTGGGTGGGCGCTGTCCTGCTGAAACGACCGCAGAGCAAGATGCTGCTCCGAAAATGGGACAAGTGCAGGTAGAGCCAAGAACAATCAGATCAGAGATGGCGCTCCCACGGACATGCGAGCACGCAGCAACAGCCCGACCTGGGTTGACTCAATCGTGGCATGATGGCGTGTTGTGCAAACACTATTATTTTCATCTTTTTTGTGGTGTGAGACTATTGGCTTGAGAATGCAGTAAACGGAAACATTTCTGATGTGGTTCGTTCGTGTTCAGGAAACAAATTACCGACTGACTGATTCTAAAACCAAATCAACGGGAACCAAAAAGTACTCACAGAATATTTTTGAGGTTTACTAAAATGGTTTACTAGGAAAGCAATTTCAAACAAAGACTGAAGCGTATTTCAACTTGCATGTCTTTTTTTAACCAGTATACTTTTTTATTACCGCTCTAAAGTGACTGCCTGTATGAAACAAGCAGCAGGCTTTCTGATGCCGAAGAGACACCCAGACCTCCCACCTTTAGGCACAAAGTATATGTTTCTTAACTGTCATGTCATCTTGAATGTAAAGCTTTTACAGTTTACAAGAACTTACACGTGCTCCAGTTATGTGTAACTACCTTCCTACTTTCCAACCCCTCACCCTGGTATTTAAAGAGCTTAAAACTGATGAATAGTAAAGGCAGGAGCAGTGCAGCATGGTGCGCAGAGCCCCAGCCTGTGGAAACAGGCCTCAGTGTGGATGACAGGCCTAACGAGCTAAATATAGCCTTCTGGGTTATCTCCTCTGTGGGCGCAGCGAGTCCGTTGTTGCTTCACATTATTTACGTGTCTGTGCGTGCACCCTCTCTCTCCTTCTCCATCTCTCTCGCCCTCTCATTTCACGCCCCCCCCCCCAACCACACACACAAACACATCGCTATCTCTTTCTCTCGCACTCTGTGTTGCATACTCTTTTTCTCTCTCTCCCTTTCTGTCCATTTCATCCCTTCGCAGCATCTTTTTCCTCAGTCTCCATCTTTCCGTCCCCTGGTATCCCTCTTTCTCATTTCTTCTCTCTCATTCCTTTTCAGCTTTTTTTCACACTCTTTCTCTCTCGTCTCTCTCCCTCTCTCTCCCACTCCTCTTTTATTCTCTTTATCTCTGCCTCCTTTTGTATCCCTTCCTCCCTCAGCAGCTCCCTGTTTTTTTTCTGTCTGACACTCTCTGAGCCTTTTTTTTCTCTCAAGCTATCTTTCCCTTTGAGCCTCTCTTTCTTCTCTCTCTCATTTTCTCTCCCTCTTTCCCTCCCTCTCATTTCTGAGCCATGCCTATGAAGTAGCATTACACTGCGTTAGCCATCCACTACAATACAGTGAGCCCTTGTTCAAATATTATAGCCTGCGGTGCTAAAGCTCTGCTATGCTAACCTATATGGGTATGTCATCAGCATCTGCAGCTCCCTGACCGCCTGCAAAAGGCAGCCGTTAAAGCCCCGTGTTTAAACACACAGCAGCGGATACTGTGTGTCATTCCTCCTCCATCCACAGCGGTCACAGAGGTTGTGACATATGATATGCACAAGTTCGATTAAATCCCGCTGACTATTGAAAGACACGGAAATGTATCTGTTCTGGCATGCCGCTGCCCCTATTGTATAAGAAAGGGTGGTGAAGATTTACACTGGGGAAGACGGATGTTTATCTAAGCTTTTTCTTCCCCACAGTAAATGTGTGAAGCTAAAATGGGGAGTGCCTGAATTGCTCAAGTTGTCCACATTGTACCGCACCATATTTATGTGCGCATGCATCTTCTTGATTTTTATAATGAGAAGCACATTAAAAACTTTATAATGAGGTCAGTTTGACAACCTTTCATCTTCAATGCACATGCTTTTGTGTTGTTTGGAATCCTCAATCAGCATTTCGTCGTCCAGTTGCTTGAATTTATTGATATGCAGTATGCCATTAATTTAAAGTTTTATAGTGTTTATGCAGCTGCCAGAAAATGCAATAACTTTAAAATGTAATGAAAAGGCTCCCGTATTGGGAGTAAGTGACAAATCATGGAAATACAATTAAGTGAAATCAGAAATTCTGTTATAACTCAATTGTAAATCAGAATAAGTGAATAATAAATAACTTTAATATGAGCTTGCATACCTTTTGCTGAACAGCCACTTAGATTGCAAGCAGCACAGCGGATTTCTGTTCCAGTCGTTTTAAAGATGTCATTATAACCTGAGTGAGCGACCTGAGCAACATGCAAATCTGCTGGTGAAACACTCAGTCTTCTTCTCGTGAAACTAAAATATTTGTTAGACAAAAGAATTGTACAATCAGCGTGTTATCTCAAGACATTTTCACACATGAACTCAAGCCAATTTTGAGATAATGAGGTTGGCTATTTTCCACAGTTGTTCTTTCTCACAGCAGGATATAGCCTGCTTCAGACGCGCTGGCACAACTGGAAGTATTCTGTGTCATTTGGCAGCAGCCTGGATGGTGCGTGCAGGAGGGGAACACTGTACTACTATCTGTGTTATTTGCACATCGGTACAAAATGACATCACGCAGACTCTGGCTCACAGGTTGACTGGCTTACGTCTGATCCAACAGCACGAGACAGTTGTGCTCTCACGTATCGCCCAGAAATGTTCAGGGTTGCAGTGCATGCGTGAAAACAGTTTCAGTGACTTCAATCACACAATTGTCCAAACATGCTATATTAGCTGAAAGAACTATTGGGAGACACTGGACGGAAGTAAGGGTCACAGCAGTAAGCCACCCAAGTGCAGTGAGCTGAACAATGGCGCATTTTCTTCTTCTTTTACTTTCATTTCCAGTTTGCAGACTAGTTTTCATCTTCCATGCACTCTACAGGTTGTTTCGTTGTGCTTACGACCAAAGCACTTGCATGGAGGTTTTTAGTCTTTTTAGTCTGCCCCAGGGCAGCTGTGGCTACAACTGTAGCTTGCCTCCACCAGTGTGTGAATGTGTGGATGACTGGGTGTGTAAAGCGCTTTGGGGTCCCTAGGGGGGACTAGTAAAAGCGCTATACAAATACAGGCCATTTACCATTTATATGTAGCGCAGTCTCTGGGACTAATTTAACCTAGCGACAGCTAGCAACCCCTAACAACACCTCTCCAGCTGGTCAGGAATTACACTATTTCCTTAGCGATCAGAGGCTGTCAGGCCTTACCAAACTACTGTACGTAATAAGAATAGCAACTGCTAGAGAGTGCTCTTATGCTCTTTTATTTAAAAAAAAAAAGGAATTTTGTTTTATTTGGAGAAATGCATGTGTTACAGCATTTGGCATGCACTTGTATCAGGTCCTCGTAAGGACAGAGGAACAAGGTCGTGTGCAAGTATGGATGAATGAACGAGTACCCTGTACATCCTGTGTGTGGGTGGGTGTCTGTGTGGGTGTGGGTGTGTGTTTATCTGCTGATCTCCTGCCTGTCTGTGGCCATCTACATCCATCTGTCTGTCTGCCAGTTTGCCTGTTTAGTGCTCTCTCTCTCTACCTTTCTCTCTCTTTTGTCAGTCTATCTGCCAGTCTGCTTCTCTTCTCTCTCTCTCCCTCTTTATGTCTCTCCATCTGTGTGTCTATCTAGCTTACGGCCCTGATCCTGCCTGCTCTCCCAGGTTTATGAAATGCGAGCAGCTTAGCAGATGGTGCATATCGTATTCTGGTCGGCTCCGTGTGGGTTTTGTACCACAGACGAAGGCTTACGATACATGTGAGCCTTTAGTCGCGCAGACACACCGACACGAGGAGCTCAGGCTGTTAGCACACGGGAGAAAACAGAGAAAAAGAAGAGCCAAAGAAAAAGACAATATAAAAGGTCTGAATGAGGAATAAAATATGGCGAGAGATACGGAGGCAGGTATGAGAGAGCGAGATAAACGGCGTGTGAGAAAAACTCTCGATAGCAAAGACTCTATTGTGCAAATGTGCAAGCGTGTTCTGCTGTTATTGATATTTAAGATACTTCCCTCGATATATACCATCTATTTGATTTTAACCCAGCAGACTCCTCTCAGAGAGCCGAGAGCCCTGGTCAGACTAGTCAATTAACATATAGCTTTGGTAAAGATGTGACTGGACTCACCATGATGTAGTGCCTCTGCATCTCAGTCTTCTCACTGGCCAGCTTCTCACACTCCAGCTTCAGGCTGCACGAGGTGAGAAAAAGCACAAACACATGAATGAAATGCTTTACTTGAATCCAGTGAAATAATTTACACAGGACTCAGGACATAGTTTAGGTTGCTATGCCATACATGCCAAAAAAATACTATTTAAGGTCTAAGGTCTGCTTAAAGTAGCACAGAAAAGGTTCACCTTTATAGCAGCAACAGCCAGAAGGGCGCCTCTCATTCTTGACTGCAGTTCCCCACAGAAACACCACGTGTGTGGGAAGGTGTCCGATTCGGTGCTACCAAGTGCAACGTTTTTTCAATTCTGCTTAAACTGCACATTTGCTCTGCATTTTTATTATTGTTATCGTTTCTAGACGTGACAGATATTTAGAGTGCGTGGTTTTAAAACGAATCAACAGTGATTAAACGAAGAAAGTTCCAGTGGGTCATTATTATGAAAGGCGTTAGTGATGCTCTTTGATTTTGTAGATATGTGTGTGTTTTGCACAGATCCACCACACCCTGCAGTGAATTACTGTTAATGTATCACAGCAGGCTGTTCAACCTGCCCGCTGAGGTGTGAGAAAGAGGCTTTTATTTTTTAACCTAACTCTTTATCTCTATTAGCTGAGGTCATTTCAGGTCAACCAGCCGTGATAAGCTGATCAGTCACCTCCAGCAGTTAAAAATAAAAGACCTGAATTACCTAACTTTCTTTTTTTATGTTGGAAACTCAGTTATACTGTTGAAAAAAAATGCAGTATTTTAAAATTAGATGTGATATATTTATTTCTTATTAATATCATGTTAAGGTTGATACGGACAGACACAATGATAGCATATTTCTCCCCAAATTAGTGTAAACGGATGCCTATTAGACTGAAACTTATGTAGAGACAGCTAAAGAGAAAGAATTTGGTATGACAGGCATCCCATATTTCCTTATAAAGATTAAAGGACACATGTGCAGCCATTCCATCTTTATTATTTGAACTGAATTACAATTTGTTGTTTCTATATTAAGACTAGAAGAGCGTTACTGGTTTCAAGCTTCTTCAGGAAGCTTGTTTCGTTTCCCAACAAAATTTATGTTTTTAAATAAATTTGTGTATCTGCACGCATGCACAAATGGATTTGTGTTATGTGTTTTGGGTACCTGTGATACTGAGCCTGGAGGAATTGGAATTCCTCCTTGATTCGGTCCAGAGTTTCCAGGACTGTGAACTTGAAAGACTGGCCAGGTTGCAAGGGGACCTGCACAGGGGAGAAAACAGAACAAAGAGTGGTTGAAAAACAGATAGAGAGGTGTGAATGTGTGTGTGCCTGTTCGAGAGCAGACTGTAAGCACTGCTGTAAATGTGCAGGTGCATGTGAACCTGCATACTGGAGTGTGTGCGAGAAACTGTAAGTGTGTTTGTGTGTGAGGGAGCAATGCACGAGGAGGAAAAAAAGCCAAGATGAAAGTGAGAGGGAAGGTCACTTCCCCTTCCCACACATCATAAAAGCCTTGTCCTCTCTCTCTCTGTTCTCCTCCTCCTCTAATGACTCTGCCTCCTTCTCTCCACTGCCCCCCTATCCTTTCTTCCTCTCCTCTCGCTCTCCCTCGCTTCCACATTAGCATCCTCTTCACTCTGGCAGGCTGCTAATGTATTCCAGCCTACAAAGAGCTGAGAAGGGAGGAAACATCAAATGAATAACTTATAGGGAATCACGGCATCGTCTCTCACCTGCTAAAAGCCAAAGAAGGCCCAACAAAACAAGCATCTCCCAAGGGTCCCCCACCACCAGCCCTCCGTGCCTGTCTAAAACGCTTTCGACAGCAGCCCTGCTTCTCCATAGTCTTCGCAAAGTTTGAGAAACGAGGCCAGTGTTGATGTTTTTCGATGCAGAAGTTGTTTTGTTTGGGGATGGGGCTGGAGTACGCGGAAGAGCACGAGCGTGTTTTTAATGACACTGTCAATCCTCAGAGGACATTTTTATGTAAGAAGACACCAGTTTTTTTTCCATTCTTCTCCTACTTCCTCCGAATTTAGACTGATTAATTTCTCTGTATTATGACGCTCACTGCGAGCCTAGCAGCAGGCACCTGGCAGTCTGCTAGGCTCGCACTTCTTATGACCTGTCAGAGTGCAGTCTCACCACTATCCCCTTTAAATTCCTTTGACAAGGACAACTCATCTGCTTCCAGGCTGCAAATAATCCCCGCTGTGACCATGAGCCCCCCCACCAAAGCCAAGAGCATGGCAGTTGAGGACAGAAGCCAGATTCCTGTAGTGTTTGGAGACTAAAGGGGAATTTATGCTTCTGTGTTGTATCTATGCTGCACAAAAACCCAAAAGCCTGTGTTGTAACCCGATGTGCGTCTTGCTATAAAAGTAACAGCACGTCACGTCGTTGCAGCCTGCAGCCACAATTTTTCCCAATCAACTGTAGGAAAACGGATCAACTTGAAGAGAAGCGCCAAGTAGCATTTTGTCAGGGAGACTGCAGAGCAACACAGGCGCGCAGAAGTGTAAGCTGAGCTAAAGTCTTCCGCTGTCCTACAGGTGCATAACTCAATGCCAACATCTTTTCTGCCTGTATCACAACTATCACACTTGCACTAGGGACAATTTTGAGAGAATCACACATAGCTGCCTATTTCGGACACGTTTGCTTTGTTTGGTTTAGGTGAGCTCTGCTATGCACTAGTGGTAAATGCACCAGAAAATTAGCTCCGTTCTGACATTCTGCAATCTGAAATCACACGCACTTCGTACCAAGGAGGTACCAGCTAATGTCCAGTCAGATTGGATCAAACATTTGCACCTTTGTCAAGTAAGTTTTAAAAGTTCAGGGCTGCACTGCAGGAGCAAAAGGCTAACGGTGGTTATTAAGCAGAGGCTAATACGCCCTTGTTAAAGTTTGTTCATATCACATTTATTTCATAGCTTTCTTTTGGTTGCTTTGGTTATCCAAATCAACTATTGTTTGTCTCTATACCTATCCACGCGTCCTTCTGTGCAGTCATCCATCCAATCAGAATGAGCAGACTGGTGCTGTCGCTATGGCGCAGTTGGGTGGCTATCGGGCAACAGCCACGGCTAAAAGCTTGGCGGTTTCAGTGGTGGCTCTTCATTAGTCTAGACAAGCACAATTCAATTAGATTTCAATTAGTCCGACGGTGGAGGTCAAAGACGCGGTGGGTTCCCCAGTAATTAATCCGGGGAGCCGAGCTGAGCCCGAGCTTAACTGAACTGAGGCAGGCATGGTGGGGACGTCTAGATGGGTGGACGGACGCAATACACACAAACCCCCAGGGTGTGTGTGTGTGCGCGTATAAGGGAGGGCGTAGATGGGATACATGATGGTGTCTGCCAACAGATCCCCACTGACCTTGATTCACACCACACACACCCAGTGGGGGAGGAGAGGCGGGAGTGTGTGTGTCGGGAGGGGGGGGGCTTGCAGACCATGATCTGGCACACACACACACACACACACACACACACACAGCATAAGCTTATTGAAAAACACATAAACAAACACACACTGTGCATGTAGTTTCACAATTTAAGTACACAGTGCCACACAAACGACGCACAAACTCACACAGGGTGGGTAGGGACAGAGGGATGGATTGACCGGGGGGGGCAGAAGAAAGATAGATACTCATCTGACAGACAGAGGGGTGGATGGATTGAGGGATGGAGGGTGTGATAGACTAGTCTGACATTCTTCCAGAGGAATGAAAGAACGAACAGAGAGACAGATGATGAAAAAGTGGTGTGGCTGCTGACTGAGAGAGATAGCCAGCCATTCATCCGTCTGACACTGAGGCGAGGGGAAGAGGACATAGAGAGAGAGAGACACAGACTCAGACCGACCGGGTAAAAGAGAGAGAGATGCTGTGTTTGCTGTAGTCAACACAGCCCGGTCTCTCTACCCTGTCCGTCGGCCTGTGGTAATACTGCTTCTACCATCTGCTGCCATGCACACATGAGCACACAGACAAAGTGCTGCTGGCTCAGCAGCACTAAGTCACATAATAAAGCCCATAGTCACAGATCGGGATTATACAAGAGATCTGCGAGTCACAACCGTTGGTGTCGCCACGGCGTCCTGTGCAGCGCGCTGATGAGAGAGACCTGAATCCTTTCATCTGCTGGACAAAAACTCGAAAAATGTCTTACTTTTGATTTGCCAGTTGCACCTTTTTGAATGAGTTTCAAAGAGCCTGGAGCGATAAAGCTTCTTATGCACGAAAAAGGAAATGAAAAATACAACAAAAAAAAAGTTATAAGGTCCTGAGGCAAAAGGAGAAATATTCCACGCTTGCGCTGAGCTCTTTCTGTCAGAATGAAGAGACCAGCATGGGAAGCTGGAATGAAAATAGTTCATGCTTAAATGTAATAACAGGAGACTTAGTGTCTTACTCAAGGACACTTAAGCCAGTAAGAGTAAGATTGAACTTCTGCGAGAGAAGCATCAGCAAGCAATGCTCTATGTACACCAAACAAACACTGTTGTTTGAGTGTATGTGTGAGCCTTCTCTCCTATATTGTGACAGATGGCAGACCAGACTGTTAGGGGTCCAGTAGGGCGTCACGATGAGCCAAAAAACAGCCTAACGCCTCCCATGTTTTTATGTGTGACTGTCTGTGTGCGTTTCAGAGAGAGCACCATATCATCCAGCATAGGGGATCCTGAAACCCAAAACTGATCCAGTTAATCTAGGAGGTGGAGGTGGAAGAGGGGAGAGGAAGAGAAATAAAGGTCACTTGTGCATAAACACACACACATGCACGCATGCACCATGTGGGCCAGCAGTCAATCACAATTTGGACGAGCTGGCACGGGTAAGCAGAGAATTAGGAAGGATTATGTATATGGTAGGAAGCGAGGGGAGGGGAGTGGTGGTTGAAGCCTATTTTACCGTGTCACGAGACGGCACGGGGGAGGGACCCACCTGCTGGACGCAACTATTACCTGTCTGTCAACTGATCCACCTGTCAGGAGTTTGACTGCAAGGGCTGTAAGGACGCAACGACCCTCAGCCCTGACAGATTTTCTAGGTGAGGCCCAGTTTTGGTGGGCTGGTGTCTTGACTTTCTGAAGGTTGATGTTGACCTCCAGCTTGAACTGGGACCCTCTGGAGGTGAGCGAGTAAGAATGAGCAACTCCAATCTGCAGTAAAATTGGTGGATTTGCATGATCTGGACCGGAAACCTGCTGCTTCATGAGTTCCAGGCAGAATCCAGAGGAAGATTGATAGGAGGATCATTGCGGCATCTGCAGCGATGCGGATGCTTTAGCGCTCTGTTGATTTACTGGTCAATCTATTTTCCTATCCTCATCTACTGCCATGAGCTGTGGGCATTGACTGAAGAGATACAAGTGGCAGTAATGTGCTTCTTCAGAAATATCATAAAATATTTACAAAGCAGTTTCTTAAATAATTGAAATCCTGCATTGTTTCTATGCCTGCTTATTTCCATCAGGCGCAAACAAACTACCTTGCACCATCATATCAGTCAAAATAAAAGAAAAACCAACTGCGGGACGTGAATCACGCCACCCATGTTTGGTGCCAGCATCAATTTGAGTGTGGATACTACAAACAGAATAAAGACACACATTACTCTGGTGTTTTAATTAATTTAATCATTTCTTTCTCTTTTTTTAGGTGAAAAACTCAGCATCGTCAAATCTCATGTAGCCTTTACAAACTGTCATTCAGTAAATGTCACTAGTCAATGTCACGGTACACACACGGGCACTCGTTTTTTGTGGGAAAAGTATTAAAGACTGTGAATTTGCGCATGAATACTTTTTCCAACTATTCAATTCACGTCTGTTTTCTGTACTTTTTCAGTAATTTTTTTAAATTGCCAGGTATCAGGTCAGCCTGCGTCTGTGTCAGTCTCTCTGCCTGTCTGTCTTCTGTTCAAGCTGCTGCCTGTTCTTCCAGCACCGATAGCTGCTGCACGAGAGGCAACTGTGAAACAGATTCAGGTCTGGGAATGAAATGATTCTTTCTGTCTGCTTGTCTCCTCCACCTATCTGTTTAGCCCCTGGCACACTTTCCACCATCACATAAGTATTCGCACGGTATAAGCAGGCATGCCTATGCATGGACGCATTCATTCAACCAAAACACCCACAGAACACTTTTCTCTTTTGTTTTTCTTTTTCGTGCCCTTTCGCTTGCTGTTCGGGCTCATTCTTCCCTCCTTCTTCTCTTCTGTCGCTCTTTACTCGTCCTTCCTGCTCCC